TTGTGGGTTGATGAACAAAGTGTGCTGAGATAAAGACATGTTTTCATGCAGCACACTAAGAAATGTTACCATCTTTAGGAGTATCGACAGAGGTGGCAGACTGCAAACGTAAGTCGGGATGACCAATCCATTGTTTCCAGCCAGTGTTGTTAAATAAGTGAACTTTAACAAAGCCGACACCTTCCAGCATAGCTGTCTAACGGCCCGATGTGTAAGAAGGTTTACCAACATTTCGGTAAGTTCAGCCGCCTACTTTGACTTTTAGAATACCAGAAAGTAAAGGGTAAGTTATCTAGCAGACTTCTGCTACTTCTTTTTATCACATTTTGCTGTGCTTTCATCATTCATGCTGTATGTTAGTGTGCGTGGTGTGCACTAATGTACTTCACTTTACATTGCTCAAGCTTTGCCGGTGAGAGTGGGTTAACATCTCTTGATGCTTATTTGGTAGCACAACCAAAATGATTAGCTTCAAGCAGTGCCTATCACTTTTCTTTACTCGGATATGAAGTGGACCTATTCAACGGCCGCTGTGGGGACAAAATCTTTGCCGGGGGGACTAGAAAGGCCACTTAGAATTAAGGAGCAGTGCTACTTCAAATTCACTTAAAGCTTAGCAAATTATCAAGCGGTGGTTATCTGCTACATTGTAGACGACATTTTTTGGCAACCGACAGAGTCAGATCTAGTAGACATCGTAGAAAAGAGTAAGTCGCCCTTCTCACTTCCTTACAAAGTGCAGTAAAGTTCCACTTGGCAGGATGAACTCGCTTTTTCCACCACGAGTTTGATTGCCCAGCAACCATGACCTTAGGGATTGCCCACTTATTAATTCAACATTGCACGAACACTTTTTGCCTCGAATCTGACTCGATTTTCCACTTGCCGAAATTAAACAGAAACGACTTCCTCTGGTAAGTTAATACACCGAGTCATTTTGATTCATCTTAGCGCACGAATCTACTAATTCCCTTAACAATTGACCGAGCCAGCTATTGTGCGTGTTTGCATCTTACAGGTCCTGCGGTGGTACACACTTTCAGCGGTAAGACTCTTGTTTGCAATGTTAAGACACGTCGAGCATGACGAGCCTTCGATGGGAAGTTCGCCAGCTGGTACTTATTTTGGCACCAAATGTTTCTCAAGAAATGCACGCTTTTATTAATTTATGTTATTGGAATGGCTAGACGTTATTAACCGGATGAGTTTGAATCACTCCAATGCAGTGTGCTTGAATACACACTTCTATAAGTCCGTCGAAGCCAAGTCTATATTATAGATCCAGCTTCCGACTCAAGATGCGCCCAACGATACTTTGTTCATCTTTTAGCAATTATGGCATCGCTGCTGATACCAGTGCTTATGTGAATGCAACCATTTAAAGAACTGGATGCGAAATATGCTCGGTGGCTGCATGGTAACAGAAATGTTACAACTTTCTTCGCGTAAATTTACCGTTTTCCAAGTGTGTTAACAAGTTTTCTTTTGGGGATAATAATGAATTTCCACTATAAGTGAGTTTCTTGGGGAATGGGAACACACCCTTTTTAAAAATCATTGCGGCTGTACAATGCCCTGCGTATCAACCTTGCATTTTCCCTACCTTTCCAAGAAGTGTTCATGAGTTGGATTAAAAAGTCCGCTCGAGGAGTGTCGGACTTAAGCCATCGTGTGCGAATTGCAGTCGCAACGTTTGTCTGGCCATCAGCGACAATGGAGTCACTTTAACTCAGTGCAGACTTTACTGTGCTGTGCGAAGACTCGAGTGCTGCCACATAATGATTGCGGTTAATTAACCTTGTCAACATAAATTCCGCATTGCGCAAGTGTCAGCTATTCTCTCACTACTCCTGGTGGTGATAATTTGCTCAAACACGACTCGGCCTAGAAGACACAAATTCCTCCCTATTAATGGGGAAAATTAGGAAGGGTTAGTGAATGGTCTGCCTACTCATGCTTTTACTATCAAACCGTGTAATGCATCTTTTATACAACATCCAAGCATTCACAAAGTTTGAGAGCAACAAATCATTGGAGATTCTGTCCCAGAATTCATGGAGGAAGAGTCCTTTCCTCACTACTCCTCAATTAAAGCACCATATAAAGCCGGTTAGAGCTCAGGTTATTAGACACTTTTGCCCATCTCATTTCGTGTTCTCAGATGGCAATGGGATAGTAGTGCAGAGCTATCAATATCTGTTCGCACCTCACTTCTCCTCCGACCAGTAGATTTTAAAGGCAGTAGATAACGGCCCACAAGATCTACAAGAATACTTGATCCACCAGAGCATACGTCAAGGCAAATATTGCAAATAAAACATTACCATTTGTTTTACATCTCTCCCTCCGTCAACGCATGCTAATGTTGGTAGGCCACCTTAAATGGAAACCAATTGAAATTTCTCTCAGTACATTACCAAGTTCTCGTGTCCAAAACGCTACGTGAACCCACAAGATTCCAAGATTTGTCTCTATAAGTAGAGCTGCAACTCGCTGACAGGTTTCTTCTTATCTCACCTCCGTATTGACTAATAAGGTCAGCACGTGCAAACTGCTAGTAAATGGCACATGGCTGGAACACGCATGTAGACTGCCGCCAAGCCAGCTGAGGCTGATCGCTGAGACTTGTAGCCCCTGGTAAATGGCATCTTTAAACGACATACCGATTGCCACTCCATGCGTGCCTCCGAAGCACAGCGCTTGTCTCGCGATTCTACGACTTGGTAAGCTACTTCTTCCTCCTCTGCATAAGTGCTCCAGTCGACCGCATGATTGTTGAATGCTACCTCGAGAAACCCATACTAACTTCTGTTTATCACTTAGACTTGAAGTAGATTCGTTTTTGTATGGCATGGCAATCACCCAAACTGTTATGATACATGTGTTATTGTGACACCCAGCCGAAGGGAAGTAACCAAATCCTTGCTTGCTTCCCACCCTCATAATGACAACATCCTTGTATTTGGTCACCATTTCGTTACAACTAATCTCCTTTCTCGGCAACTGAAACAACGACTTCTAGGTGAGAGGTCTTTGGTCCCGGTTTCCAGCACTGCACAAACTTGCAAAAATTGTAC